TTGTTGCAGTTGCCTGCTCTTCTGATGCCGATGCTGTGTTCTGTGATGCTGTAGATGCTGTCTTACATGCTGTTGATGCGATTGGGATTGCCGCAGTCTCCCTCCGCGATGCCGTAGACGCTGTCTGCGATGATGTAGCTGGCGACGCTGATGTTGCTGAAGTCGGCGATGGCAACGATGTCGGCGGTGGCGAAGGCGATGGCGACATGTCCACAACAGCCGATGACGCCCTCTTCTTTTCCAATCTCTGGTTCGCGCCATCCACTGGGCGCAAACTCTACCATGCTGATGGCCGCGCGGCCATTCTGTCCGATGGTCCGCAGCTGTGTGCCGGCGCCGAACTTGCAGGAAAAAAGCCTGGTCGCCAGATCCGCGCAGCTTGAGATCCATCGCCAGCGCGCCGGTGAGACCGACTGGGAGCCGCGCGCGCACCTCCTCATCAAGAACACGGAATAATACAACCCCGTTCGCGCCTGCGATGCCCGCGGGAACCTCCGCGCGGCCAATGACCTTGGCGTCGCCGCCGATGCCGCGAGGAGGAGGTCCGTCGTCTGGTGCCCACCGTGGCTGTAAGTTGAACTCCTTCAGCTTGTTAACGAGCCCCTTCAGCTGCGCCGCGCCGACGATGCCCCCCCGCGCGCCCGCGCCCACGAAGACCTCCCACGCGTCGATGGCGAGCCCGATGAACACGGCGACCACTCCGACGATGAACTTCGCGGCACTTCCGGTCGCAGACGCAGCTGGCCTCGGCATATCGACATCGAACGTCTGGTTGCTACCGCCCGCCGCAAGCGCAGTGAAAACTCCAAGGGCAGGGCGCGGTTGATGTCGATTCTGTGGGCACTCACGCGCCCAGTGGCCAACCAGCTGGCACTTGGCGAGCTTCGCCCAGAGCTTGAACTGGTCCATCGAATTGCGCCTGCGCTGATTCTGCTTACCGCTGCCCTTGCCCTTGTCCTGTTCACGCCCATGTTTTCCTTTGCTATTTGCCCTTTGGCTTGAAGAAACCTCTGGCCTTTCACATCTCATTCAGGTGGTTCTGGACTTGCTTGCGCTCGACTGCGTAGCTCATCGCGGGCCGCATGTCCAACGGCACCCACGGCAAATCCTCTTCATCCATCGCCCCCTCGAGCCACTCAGCATGAATGCAGCGTGCCCCTTCGATCGCCTCCGACCCTGGGATCTGCAGCGTGCCCTCGCCGTCGTCGCATCCATCATCCTCGTATCCGATCACCTCTATGGCGAACGCGCCTGGCCCGTCTGACTTGTCCGTCGTGGCCATGTCGATCGGCGGTGGCGGGGGTGCTGTGTTCTTGTCGTCGAGATCCCTGAAGGACGAAAGCGAAGCCAATCCTGTCGTCGGTCGCGGTAGTCCAGCTCGTCGATCACGGTGGTCCAGCCTGATGAGCGCCTTCGCGATCTGCTCGAAGTTGTAGCCACCGTCAGTCCAGCCGATCACCTCGTCGCAGGGCCTCTCATCGAGCCTCGCGAAACGCAGCGCGCTATAACCTTTGAACGCGTCCGACAGCATGACTTTCAGCCTCTCGAATGCAGTGAACTCGAGCCTGGGCCTTATCACAATTGTCGTACATCTTTCCTTATTAGGGTCGCGTGCGCACGTGCAGAGAGCTTTCTCGACTGCCTCGGGGATCTCTTCTTCCTTCAGACTCGACCGCATTCTCGTCCGCCAAGGCTTCGTCAACAATATCCTCACACGCGAGTTGGGCCTGTCCTCGCAGATTCGTGAGAACCACACCGTCAATCTTCTTCTCCTCTGATGTGGTGCTGGCCTGCCAGATCAGCAGGTCTCGTCTATACCGTCGATACAAATATTCGTCCGCCGGCTCCGTGAACAGCGGCGATGGGTCCGATCCACTCTCGTTGAAACTCGCGTCGGCTCTCCATTTTTTCACCCCCAGGTTATGCTTGAGCCCCTGGCGGCATGGCGGCAACACTCTGAAACCTGAAACTGTAGCTGGTGTTCAGCTGTCTTCTGAAATCGAAACTGTAGCGGGTGCGCAGCTACCGTGGGGAGAACCACGGTTCCGCTGCCAACTGAGAAATCTATGAGATCGGAAAAAAAAAAACGCGGACTCTGTTCCACTTCGCAATCATATGACCCAAGCCGGCTACGGAACGAACGCCAATGCGAGCCGAAACAAGAACATATGCCTGCATACAACCATGAGGCCTCAGGAGCACAGAAATCACACAGCGCCGACGGCGAGGACGCAGCGACGATGACCAGAGGCACGCCAAAAGGGGGGTGGGGGGTTACACACCCCTCCCCTTGGCGCCGAGGGGAAAAAGGGGGTTTCACCCCCCCCTTCCTGGCGCCGGCGCCGGCGCTGGCGGCGGCTAGCAGCGGTGGCGCTGGCGCCGGCGACGGCGGGGACGCAGCGACGATAACCACCACTACCGCCACCACCACTACCACCACCAGTACCGCCTCAACCCACCACAACCACCAACCCACCACACCACAGCCACCACCACCACCACAACCACCACCACAACAGTTCACCATCACCACCACCACCACAAAAAAACACCACCACCACACTCTACCACGCCACCACCACCCTCGCCACAACCACCACCACTACCAGCAGCACAACCCACCACTACCACCACCACCACCACCACCACAAACCGCCACACCACCACCACCACCACCGCCGCCACCACCACCACCAGCACTACCTCCACAAACCACAGCCACCACCACAACCAACCACCACCACCACAAAGCACCACCACACCAGCAGCAAACCACCACCACCACACTACCACCACACCACCACCACCACCACGTCCACCACCACCACCTCCACCACAACAAACCACCACACCACCACCACCACCACAACCACCACCACCGCCACCACCACCACCGCCACCACAACCACCACAACCCACCGCCACCACCACCAACGTCGTCCTCTTCGACGCTCCAGGCCGCCGCCGCCCGCCGCCGCAGGCGCCGGCGCCGGCCCAGAAAAGGAAATCGTCGTCCCCGCCGCCGCCGCCGCCAGCCGAGGAGAGGGAGAGAGGAGAAGTAGGGGAGGAGGGGGAGGGGGAGGTTCGAACCCCCCCCCTCCCTCTCCGTCACGGGAGGGGGAGGGTTCGAACCCCCCCCCCCTCCAGCCAGGGCGGGGGGGGGTCCGGTTCCACCCCCCCCCCTTCCAAGCGACCACAGAACGCGATCTTTCTTACAATTTGAGTGGTGGGGGCCTCTTGGAATTTCGTGAAGGCCTCTCTGGCCGTCTTGAGGCCGTCTTGAACTCGCTTTGAACGCTCATCGGTCGTCTTGGGGTCCTCTCGGGCCTTCCTGAGGCCGTCCTGGAGGTACGCTGGGCCGCCTTGGGGGCCTCTTGAGCCGTCTCGGGCGCCTCTTGTGCGTTCTCGGGGCCGACTTGGGGCATCTTGGGCCTACATGTTGGCGAAAATTGAGCTATTGGATCTGGCGCCGCCAAAGCCATACCCCTCACACTCCCTGCTGGATATTTTTCACGACTAACGCCTGCCAACCCCCTCAGACTCCCCCCTTGCTATTTCTCCCAACAAACCGATCGCGAGGCCACTCGCGCTTTCCGTCATCTGGGGCCGCCAACCCTCCTCACACTCCCCATTGTCAGTCCCTCACAGAAGGATCCCGAAACTACGCGCGCTTTCCGTCATCCGCCACCCCATGCTGATTTTTCACTGGGGTGCCTGGCGTTCTGAATGTCTGATGGTTTTTATTATTTTTTAGAATCCCCCTGGGGCGTCGGCCCACTGTGCCCGCAACCCAGAAGACCGCGTGAACTGCCGAATAATTTGCCCGATCGCTTCTAAAATTGCCAAGATGGCCTCCAAGCTCACCCAAGATGGTCGACGATTGCTTCCAAGATGGCCCAAGAGGGTCCAAGATGCCTCCCAGACCGCCCAAGAAGCCGCCAGATGGCCTAAGATGTGCCCACGATGGCCTAAGGCGGTCCGAGAGGCCCCCTAAGAGGGCCTCCAGGAAGGCATGCAGGGGCAAAACTAATTCCGACGGCCCGAGACGGTCCAAGAGCCCCCTAACATCGCCTCAAGATCGCCCATGAGGCCTCCAAAGACACCCAAGACGGCCTCAAGAGGGTCCCCAGCCAGCCCAAGAGGCCTCCAAAATGCCCGAAATGGCCTTCAAGACGGCACTGAAGCACACCAAGACGGCCCCAAGTCGGTTCAGAGAGGCCCCCAAGACGGTTTCCGACGGCGTCAGACAAGCCAGGACCGGCCTAAGACGGCCAAAGAGGCCCACAAGAGGCCCCCAAAGGCCCTCATGAAGCCCACGGGGGGCCCCAAGATGCCTCCAAAAGGCCACCATGAAGCTCCCAGGAGGCACCAATAAGAGTATCCCCGGAGGCTCCCAAGATGCCCCCCATCCTCCTCCTTCTGATTCCCCACCATCCTTCCTCAGATGTTCCCCGAAGGGCTTCCACAACGGCTGGGGGGAACACATGGTCCGATAGCTTGGCAGAGCTCTGGCCACAACGTTCGGCCACATGGGCGATTACAAAAGGCAAGGGACGGCGGTGACTCGCCGTAGGCGCCTTCCATACATTAAAGTGTTGTGCCTAAGAAACGTCTCACAAAAATTGCCCCCCGGCCCCCCCTCCCCCCCCAGACCCTCTGCGCCCCTACTCCCGCCGCAACCGCCGCGCCTGCTTACGGTGGCGCATGACGGCGGCGATGTCGGCGGCGATGTCGGCGACGAACACGACGGCGGCGATTGTAACGTCGACGGCGACCACAGCGGCGACGGCGTCTGCAACGGCGGCCAGGGTGAACGCAGGTGCGCCGACGCGAAGGTTTAGGTCATAGTCATGACTCTGCTTAAGGGTGGCCTTTCGGGGCGGTCGGGGCACCCCTGGAACGCTCTCGGCGAGGCGCAGTCGCATGAATACATCCCGAGGCTGGAACGTCGACGAGGCGAACCTCGAACCCGAACCCCCCCAACCTTCCCCACCGAACTCGCCGCCGAAAGGACCTCACGGGAACCGACCGAGCCGCGGACATCCCTGGCGAGGGCCCTCAGGCGCGGTGCGAGAGGCCGCGCCGCCGTGGCCTTTCTCCTCGGGGGCCGCGCCCGTGCGCCCGAGCCGCACCACCGCTTTCGGGAGGCGCTGGCGCTTGTTGACGAACGAGCAGCATGACTACACCCAGACCCCTCGTACCCACAGCGGGGTCAGAGGGAGGACTGGCTAACTATGGCATGGGTGCTGCTTGTCGGGCCCCGGGGGAGGCTCCCGTTCGAGCGGGGAACCCCATCCGAAAACACGCAGCTATAGCCCCATCCGTCCCCACTGCGGGTATGGGTGTGTGTGTTGTTCGCTCGTCATGTGTGGCCGTCACTCCGCCTTCTGGACCTTCCCGATGGTCTCCTCAGAAGAGAGAGATCAACCTGCACAAATCTTGCGGGCGGAAAGCGATATGAAACTTCCCCCTTGCGGCAGAAGGCCCTGACCAGCCGGGAGCATGGGGCCAGACAGAGGGAGACAACGGGAGACGACGGGAGACAACAGGAAACGGCGGGAGCCAGCGGGAGACCATGGCGCCCAACCGGTTCCAGGCCCGGCGATCCCCGTGCTCGGTGCCCCGAAGAACTAAACAGGACGCGTACAGACAAACTGCGTCAGGGAACTAGCTGCATGTTTCGCGGGCGAGCTGGCTTCGCCGTCGTGGCAACCTGGCCCCAGGGCGACCAGGAAGTCTGCACTCTATACCCCTGCGGTGGCAGGTGGAGGGATGACTTTTCCAACCACCCTGGGGTCAGCGCCCCCGCCTGCGGAAGAGTTCCTCTGCACACTCGGTCGCCTCCTGGGCCTTCCCAGTGGCTTCCGAACATCGAAACACGTAGGGCGGCACCACCAAACACCAGCGAGGGGCACCAGTGGTCCCCATGGCCCCCCTCTCGTTCGAGGCATCTCCTATCGCCAGCTCGGGGATGCATCGTGGACCCCCTCGCCAGAATTGCCCCCTCTGGCAGGTGGTGGTGTCGCCTCTTGTTCCTCCAGCTAGGAGAGAAAGCGGCATATAAATGTAGAGTTTCTAAGCTCCGCGCGGATGTCTTGGGTCTGCGATGGACCCCCCTCTTTTGCGCGCGGAGCGCGCCTAGGGCAGCGCCAGATGTGCCGCCAAGGGGGTCCAGCGCCGATCTAGGAAATCCGCGAGGACCTCAAAGAGTTCGTTGATGCACTTGTTTGTTCGTCGACTCAAGTGAGGCCGACTGAATCATCGCTTCTCAGCATCGTCAATTCTATCCCAGTCCCCGCTGGGCCAGGATGGGTACGCCCCTTCGCGTCGTCAGCTTTCCCCCTAAGGGGGGGATGGCTGCCGCGGAGCACGGAAGAGAGGGCACCTGCCCCCACCTGGGCCCTTGGGGTGGAGTGGGGGGGGGGTCGGACGGCTGGGTTAGTGTTTTCCAAGCGGGGATGGGATAACGGAGGCCTCCCGAATGGGGTCAGGGCAGATGGGTTCGGAGGTCCGCGCCGCATCACCGATGCATCGCCGATGCGTCCAAGACGTCGCCAATAGATCAGCGACGTCGGCGTCGGCAAAAAAAGCGCTCCACATCGAGCCGCATCGCCGAGGGCCGCATCCCCGAGGACCGCATCGCCGATGCATCGGCGATGCGGCGTTATCCGTCGACCTCATCTATGTGGACCCACCCTTTTGTGGAGGCTTGGAGACAAATCTAAAGATGCTGAACTTCTCGTTTTCGTTGCGTTCTCGTTTCAAATCGACCACGATCCAAGATAACCCAAAGACACCGTCTTAGCGCACCTCTGAAGCCGCAATCGGCCCATAGAGGGTCCTGGAATGGGAGCATGTCGAAAAAGGAAGGGGAGCGAAAGTCGTCCACGACGTTGCCTAAACAGCACCGTTGTCGATCCCTGGTCTCCTGTACCCAGACCTCCAGCGGACTCATTCTGTTCAGAACAGCGCTCTCCCTTAGATTGAGCCCCCAGGGGCCGCCTTCGGGCCCTTGGGCCATTAGAAGTGAAATCAGAACGAGAGCCTTCCCCGTGAAGCGGCCGAGGGTTCGGAGGGCCGCGGACTGGACAAAAGTTTGCCCTACGTATTCGACCATGGACACCTTGTTATCAGTCGGCCTGGAGCGGTCTTCGGCGGTCTTACGGCGGTCTTCGGCGATCATCGGAGGTCTCTGGCGCGAAAGCTGGATGGTCGCGTTGAACACAAGGGGTCCATGATCGAACACCTGATCAGTCCATCGATGGTATGGGCAGGAGGCCCGAAAAACGCACGTGAACGGACACTTCGGACGTCCGCGAACGGTTTCTCCACTGGCGCCAGGTCCCTCTCACACCCCCAGGCGGCGCACCCAGCGAGGGCGTGATCCCCAGACACCCGACGTCAGGATTTTGTTCGTAACGTAGTCTCCCAGAAATCTCAACCCATTCCCGGGGACCGGCTTCTCATCCTGAATTGTTCCTTGAGGGCCCCGAGGCCCAAAAAAGGGCCCACAGAGGCCAAGGAAAGCGAGAAACCTACTGTCGTGACTCCTTCATGACTCGAGGGGGCCTGGGTCTGGCGCTGGCGGAGAGCCCATTTCGGGAGCCCTCGAGTTGATGTCCCAGGATATGCTCGCGTTGCATTGGAAAGAAAACTCGCGACGGGAGGATTTTGGCAACCTTCAGCCTCTGGAGGCTCTCGCCTGGCCATGGAAACTGTCCAGAAACGGCCCGGGGTGAAAAGCGAGCCCTGGGTCAAGAGCCGAGCCTTCCCGTGACTCCGCCATTGAGAAAGTCTACGGTAAGTTCGCGCGGCGTCGGCACGCGCAAAGGTCTTGGACACCGCGTCGATCGTTCAACCAACCTTGAACCGATCGCGGCCCCGATCGTTCAAGGTTGACATCCGTTGGGTCACGTGGCGGTACCGTCGTCCTATCATGCGGAGTTCAAACTTGAACGCCTTCGCCAGAGTCGCCAGCGCGCCATCGCCGCATGAAACCACCATAGGTATTGGATGTCTGGGTTTGTGTGCTTTCCCCACAGCCTCTGGTCCTGAGAGGCGCCGAAAAACCTGAGCGCCGAGGGCGCCACTAAGGCCATCTGGGCCATGATGCAATACTTGACGATCCTGCCCACATGGCTTACCCTGTCGAAGAAACGGGAAGAAACATGAAGTAGGAAGGCGTTGGAAGGAGAATGGGCTTCCGCCCGCCACCTAAAAGAAATGATAAGGGGAAATCACTCGATCCTTGAATTAGGAAGGCGCCTAACACCGATTGGGATCTGGAAATCCAAAAGTACTGACTTTCAACGACCGACGGGGAATCAAAACTGTGTCCTCACCTCCTCCTCCTCCTCATCATCATCATCACCATCACCATCACCATCACCATCACCATCACCATCACCATCACCATCACCCTCACCCTCATCCTCATCCTCATCCTCATCCTCATCCTCATCCTCATCCTCATCCTCATCCTCATCCTCATCCTCATCCTCATCCTCATCCTCATCCTCATCATCCTCATCCTCATCCTCATCCTCATCCTCATCCTCATCCTCATCATCATCATCATCATCATCATCATCAGCATCAGCATCAGCATCATCATCAGCATCAGCATCAGCATCAGCATCATCATCATCATCATCATCATCATCATCATCATCATCATCCCAGTCCTCTGTGTGCTTCGCTCCTCTCCTTCCCCGCGTCCTCGCTCACAACCATAGCCCTCCCCTCAAGTGCTTGACGATAGCAGCGTGGCCGATATTCGGACACTGCCTGGGCCTTCTTTCACTGAGTAGGCGAAAATTGAGGAGGGGGAAGAGGAGGCGGCATCGTAGGGTGAGGAAGAGGAAGAGGACCGGAGATAGGCAGGGCCGCGCAACTGATGACAAGAGCACGTGCCGACCTAGTGTCATCAATCGACTTCAACAAATATGGCCTTGTCCAGGACTGGGAACGAACACGGAGGCTGTGCAAAACGCGAAGAGTTCCAAGTAAGAACGCTGTCCCGCAGAACCGAACGCCTTGAGGTGTTCGGGTGCGAGGGACACTTGATGCACGAGGTGGGACCGTGGCGGGAGAGGACAATGTACTCGTTGAGCTCGGCGCAGCCAAGCGGCGCCGAATCCCCCGACTCGGGCCCATCCGCTCTCGCCTCATTCCCAGTCACCGCGAGCGCAGCAAGGACCGCCTCCCTCCTGCAAAGGTGTGCCGCAAGAGCCCGCACTACTCCCCCAAGAAGCCCCATGAAGCACACAGAGGCCCCCCAACGAGACACTCAAGATGCACATGGAGGGACCCAGTAACGATTCAGCAGGCCCCCACATGCGCCAACATGCCTCTTCCTCCTCCTCCTCCTCCTTCTCCTCCTCCTCCTCCTACTCCTCCTCCTCCTCATCATCAATGGTCGCAGGATTTGCTGGCTAATTTCCTGAAGGGAAGTTCACCGTGCCTCCCGCTCTGCGGAATCGATCCACGGCGGCCCCCCTTGCAGGCCCCGTGCCGTCCTGGTGGACACACGGGCTGCCAGGAGGGGGGGCAGGCTCGCACCTCCGCCTCCGCCCCCACGGGGACGGCGGTCGTCGACGACGACGACGATGACGGATCCACCGTTCGGAAAGCATGCTTGGAGGCGCCGCTCGCCTGCAAAGCGCCCCCAGGAGGGGCCAAGAATGCCTCCTGCGTGTGGCACAAGGTGGCCCACATTGGCAACCGTATTGCACAAGCGAGCCCCGAGACTCGTGGGCGCGTAAACATGGATTAGCGATCCTTGGATTTGGCGCACGGTCGCCAAATCCATGGATCGGGGGAAGTGCCCTCCCCAGCGGCCGGTGCCGCCTCGCTCGGCGGCCGAAATCCGCATTTCCCATGGGAACGAGATCCGTCGCTAATCCACGCCCCCGTCATCCATGTGATCGCCTGAAAGACCACGAGGCCCAAAAACAACCCTACGACTCTTCAAATGGCCACGACGCCTCCCAGGGAGGTTTCCGTGAGACCTGAGTCCTTGAAAAAGCAGAGCTGCCCTCTCGCACTGTCGCATTCGATCAACGACCTCTGATGCCTCGAGAAGGCCCCAAAAATAGCCAAAGAGAGCCCCCAAAAGAACCTAAGAGGGCCGAAGACGGCTCCAAGACCGCCAGGCGGCCCAAGAGACCTCCAAGGCGACCCCAGAGCGCCCCAAGACGGCCCAGAGAGGCCCCCTAAACAGCCTCCGAGGTCGCCAGCAACAGCGCCCGAAAAAACCGAGCAGTCCCCAAGAAAGTGCGTAAAGAGGCAACCAAGAGGCCACAAAAAGATCCCGAGAGGTTCGCCAAAGGCCCCCTAGGCCCCCTATCAGCCCCCCTGGACGCCCCAATAGACACTACCATGCCACTTCATGTTCCTAAACTCCTTTTCCTCCTCCTCCTCCTCCTACTCCTCCTCCTCCTCCTACCGTTGGACTTCTTTCCCCCCCCCTCCTTTCCCCTCAGTGGCGTGCGATCCTCCAACCCTCCCCATCCCACTCCTCATCCTCCTCCCCCGCCTCCTCCTCTTCCTCCTCCTCCTCCTCGTCCTCCTCCTCCTCGTCCTCCACCTCCTGCATGGTCGCCCGAATTGCTGGCTAATTTCCCGAAGAAAGCCCAACCGTGGTGCCCGCTCTGCGAGCTCGATATACGTATCCTATGCTTTCAATTTGCCGTGTGGAAATGGACATCTGGGCCGTGACAACCTTGGATTGGTTGACCTGGCCCTCAGCACAGGCCGTGACAACCTTGGATTGGTGACGCTCTTGCGTGAAGGTGTCGCGCAGCATACTGAAGACTTATCCAGCACACTGGCCTGCCATGCCGATACCATTTTGCAACTTTGCAATCAGTGAGCGAGCCGCACCTGTGTCACACTGCCCACTGTGGCCGTAGGCTCAACACCCTAAGATCCATCATCATCACCATCATGCACATCATCACCATAAGCATCATCATCATCACCACCACCACCATCAGCATCATCATGATCATCAGCAGCAACAACACCACCATCACCACCATCACCATCACCATCACCATCATCATCATCATCATCATCATCATCATCGTCATCGTCATCAGCATCATCATCATCATCATCATCATCATCATCATCATCAGCATCAGCATCAGCATCATCATCATCATCATCATCATCATCATCATCATCGTCAGCATTATCATCATCAGCATCACCATCAACATCATCATCACTTCATTCGCATGATAATCATCATCACCACCATCACCACCATCACCATCACCATCAGCATCATCATCATCATACTCATAATCATCAGCAGCATCACCAACAGCATCATCATAATCATCATCACCATCGTCATCATCGTCGTCATCATCAGCCTCATCCTCAGCATCATCATCATCAGCAGCATCATCATCACCACCCCCACCACAATCATCATGACCATCATCATCATCACCATGACTCACCATCATCATCGCCACCATCATCATCGAAATCGTCATCATCACCAGCAGCAGCATCAGCATCATCATCAGCAGCATGATGATGATCATCATCAGCATCATCATCACAACCACCACCACAACCACCACCATCATCATCATCAACACCATCATCATCGTCACCATCATCATCACCATCATCATCAGCATCATCGACATCATCACCATCACAATCGTCACTAGGCTTGCCATCGAGCTGGCCTTCCAGTTTGGTGAGGGCGGCATGGACCTTGTTGAGCTCTGCTGCCAGATACCAAGGCAGGCTGGTCGACAACGCTCCTGCTTAGCACTCTCCATTCCTTGTAGCTATGAATACGGGCAACTTCTTCAAAGAAACAAGAAATCAACCACAACTGTCTGACCTCCGCGCGGATTTCATAGATCGGCGCGCTGAGCGCGCCAGGGCCGGCGTCGGAGGCGCCGCCAAGGTGGGGCCCAGCGTCGATCCGAGAGATCCGCGAGAAGCTCCAAAACATTATGCTGATGCAGTTTGTTTTCCTTTGTGTGTAGCTGCGAATGCAGGCAGCATCTTCGGTCGTCGAAATGTCCAGCAAGTTCAAGGGTCCGGTGTGCTGAAGACATGCTCTCGCGTGCGACCATGCACACTGAACCGGCCAGGCCATGCCGCGTGGGCATGCGGGAGGAGGACAACCAGCCTCGGGTGTTCCCCAAGCCCTAAGATGGACATGTCCCAGGCCATCATAATCGCAGGGATGTGTTCTCAAAAACTGAAGAAAGCCTTCAAATCGACGCCTACACAAGGTAATGCCAATCATCGGGGTAGGGTTATGCTGCAACCTGGTAAGAGGCGGCGGCGGAGACGATCCTTCCCACCAGGATCGAACCCAGGAGCCATGCATTGCTCATGTTCGAGAGCTTCGCGAAGAAAATGAGAGGGTGCAAGATGATTGGCATCGCTGCGACTGGAACCTGGAAGAAGTCTCAACAACGTAAATTACACCATTGGCGGCACAAGACCCTAAACAGATGTTTGACAGATTGACGGGCGCACTATGGAGAATTGCTGTAACCATATTGGATCATGTCTACAATAGCCCGGATGGTGCTGTACTACGCCTACATCAAATGTTTAGAAATGGCAGCTGTTCGCCGCATCCGTAGCGTGCTGGATCCGACCAGGCCAGGTCCTGATTTTCATATGATTGATGGCATCCACGTTTACCCTAAACAACGTTGACATTCCCTCTATCAGGCCTGGGCACTTGCCCTCCTGAGTAATACTACGCGGTGGTCATGCTCACGCATTGGTTGCGAAACGCATGACATACTACCCTCAGAACCTGTTTCCCCCTATCGCGACTCCTATGTATGTGGAAATGTCTATGTGTTAATGCATGTACGCGTACGTGTATGAATGTGTGTATGAATATGCTCATGTAGCTGGGTACATGCATGCATACTCACACAACTGCATGAGCACACACACACAAACACATACACACACGCACATACATACATGCATGCATACATGCATACATTCATGCATGCATGCGTACTTGCATGCATGTGTACATACATACATACATGCATACAGACATGTACACGCACCTGCGTACATACATACATACATGTATACATACATACATGCATGTGCACGCACATGCATACATACATGCATACGAACATGCACACACACACACACATATATATGTATATAGATATGGGCAGCCCCCCCAGCGCCCATTCTTCGTAGTTTGTCTTTCCACGTTGTCTTTCGCGTCCCTTCCTCCGCTCCCAGAACTGGAGACACAGAGAGAGAGAGGGGGGTTGGTGCCCCCAGGCTTCGCAAACCTTGTGATTTCACAGGGATCGCCGCTCCCTCGAGTCTCTCCCTCTCTCTCTCTCTCTCGCTGTCCCCCTCCGTCTCTGTCTCCCCCCTTCTCCTCCTCCTCCTCCTCCTCCTCCTCCTCCTCCTCCTCCTTCTATGAAGCAGAGAAAGAGAGTGTGTGTGAGGGAGGGAGGGAGGGAGGGAGGGAGGGAGGGAGAGAGAGAGAGAGGGGGGGAGACTCGAGGGAGCAGCGATCCCTGTGAAATCACAATGTTTGCGAAGCCTGGGGGCACCAAACCCTGTTATTTCATTTGGATGTTTTGGATTTCTGGGTCAAGAATCCCAGAACCCATGTGATTTCATTGTGATTTGTTTGATGTTTGTGGTTTTCAGTCCCAGAGAAAAAAAAACAAACGACGACGGGGCTCCCCAGGACTGGAGGATTTAACATCCCCAAAATCCAAAAAAATCCAAATGGAATCACAAGGGTTCTGGGATCCTTGATCCCAAAAATCCCAATGAAATAACAGGATTGGTGCCCCCAGGCTTCGCAAACATTGTGATTTCACAGGGATCGCCGCTCCCTCGAGTCTCTCCCTCTCTCTCTCTCTCTCTCTCGCTGTCCCCTCTCTCTGTCTCCCCCCTTCCTCCTCCTCCTCCTCCTCCTCCTCCTCCTCCTCCTCCTCCTCCTTCTCTGAAGCAGAGAGAGAGAGAGAGAGAGTGTGTGTGAGGGAGGGAGGGAGGGAGGGAGGGAGGGAGGGAGGGAGAGAGAGAGAGAGAGAGAGAGGGGGGGGAGACTCGAGGGAGCAGCGATCCCTGTGAAATCACAATGTTTGCGAAGCCTGGGGGCACCACACCCTGTTATTTCATTGGGATTTGTGGGATTTCTGGGTCAAGAATCACAGAACCCCTGCGACGTCATTGGTTTGTTTTGGATGTTTGTGGTGTTCAGCCCCCGAGAAAAAAAACAAACGACGACGGGGCTCCCCAGGACTGGAGGATTGAAACTCCAAAAAATCACAAAAAACCAAATGAAATCACATGGGTTCTGGGATTCTTGACCCAGAAATCCCAAACACCCCAATGAAATAACAGGGTTTGGTGCCCCCAGGCTTCGCAAACATTGTGATTTCACAGGGATCGCCGCTCCCTCGAGTCTCTCTCTCCCTCTCTCTCTCTCTCTCTCGCTGTCCCCATCCGTTTCTGTCTCCCCCCTTCTCCTCGTCCTCCTCCTCCTCCTCCTTCTCCTCCTCCTCCTCCTCCTTCTCTGAAGCAGAGAGAGAGAGAGTGTGAGGGAGAGAGAGAGAGAGAGAGAGAGAGAAAAAAAGAAAGAAAGAAAGAAAGAGAAAGACAGAGAGAGGGGGGGGACTCGAGGGAGCAGCGATCCCTGTGAAATCACAATGTTTGCGAAGCCTGGGGGCACCAAACCATGTTTGTTCATTGTGATGTTTGGGATTTCTGGGTCAAGAATCCCAGAACCCCTGTGATTTCATTGTGTTTTTTTTTGATGTTTGGGAGTTTCAGTCCCAGAGAAAAAAACAAACGACGACGGGGCTCCCCAGGACTGGAGGATTGAAAATCCAAAAAATCACAAAAAAAATCCAAATGAAATCACAGGGGTTCTGGGATTCTTGACCCAGCAATCCCAAACATCCCAATGAAATAACAAGGTTTGGTGCCCCCAAGCTTCGCAAACATTGTGATTTCACAGGGATCGCCGCTCCCTCGCGTCTCCCCCTCTCTCTCTCTGCCTGTGTCCCCCTCCGTCTCTGTCTCCCCCCTTTTCCCCCTCCTCCCCCCTCCTCCTTCTATAAGCAGAGGGAAAGTGTGTGAGAGGGAAAGAGAGATTGTGCTCTCTCTCTCGTTCTCTCTCACTCTCTCTCTTCCTCTGTCCCCCTCCGTTTCTGTCTCCCTCCTCCTCCTCCTCCTCCTCCTCCTCCTCCTCCTCCTCCTGTGAACCAGAGAGAGGTACAGAGAGAGAGGGGGAGAAAGAGAGAGAGAGAGAGTGAACCGTTCAACGACCGATGCAAAATGAATGGGTGCTGGGGGTGGGGGGGGGCGCATGCATACATTGATACGGACATACATACGTATATACGTATATACATGCATACACACATACATAAATGCATGCATGCATGCATTCACACATACACACATGCATGCATACATATATGCAGCACCACGCAATTGCGGATACGAGTGAGGGGGCAGGCGCGGGGTGAGTCGTGGGGTGGGTCACGGGTGGGTCGCGGGTGGGTCGCGGGGTGGGTCGTGGGTGGGTCGCAGGTGGATCGCGCGGGTGGGTCGCGGGGTGGGTCGAGGGTGGGTCGCGGGGTGGGTCGCGGGTGGGTCGCGGGTGGGCCGCGGGCGGGTCGCGGAGCGGGGGGGGGGGGGGACGACGCAACAAAACAACAACATAACAACAACAAACCAACACCAAGAATCCTCGCCGTAGATCCCCACTTCAGCCACGCACCCAGGGACAGTGAATGACCGTTCGGGCCCCCTCATTCTGATGTATGCATGCACGCATGTATACATACATGCATGCACGCGTACCTACACACGTGTATATATACATATGACCATATATATGTGTATATATAAACACACACACGTCTATAGATGTGTGTATACAAGCATGCGCATGACTATATCTACATATGTGTATATAGATGTACAATAGCATACCACACTGGACCAACACATAATATAGTAGACCATGGCAGGTCATAGCATACCATAACAATACATAACACACCTACATACATACGTACATACATACACATGTAAACATCCACACCGACTTACCCATATGCATACATACATATGTATACGTACATGTAGGTGGGCGCGTACTCCTACACGCGGATGCTGGACTACGTTCTTATAAACACAACACGTCACGCACTACTCACAAAAAAACAAGCATAGCAGAAACACCGTCCCCATTCTATGTGTTGACAAATTTTGAATACTCGTCATGTGGAGGGACATGTCCGACTTAAACGTACATGTGTACGTACGCGCGTACGTACGGACATAAACACAAACATACGGACCAATCTACATCCACACATACGTACACACATGCATACATGCGGGGGTGCGTGCGTGCCTGTATACATATATATACATACATAAATATATATACATACGTATACATATATATATATAAATATATGTTACACACATCTCTCTCAGATATATACATCTATTTGTATATCGATGATTTACGAAAGCTGTTCAGGGAACACGAACTGTCGGGGAGGCCAGCGTGGAGGTCCTGGGTCGGCGCTGGACCACACTCCCCTGGTGCGCGGAGCGTGCTGGGGAGCGCGCCCTGGCCCAGCGCCGACTCGAGAAATTCGCGCAGACCTCCAAGATGGTGTGCTGATGCTGCTCTCTGCCGTTCGGGAGCCGCCGCCACAGCGCCGTAGGCCTGCATCGTCTCCTCTCGCCGCGAGGGAGGTGGGCTCTCAGGGAAGCAGATCCTGGGCCCCTGGGCTTTCTCGGATGGGATGACCGCGGGGGGTGCTGATGTTGCGCGTTCGACAATGGACCCCCTGAAACCCGTCAGTCCTGGGCCATATTCGGTCTTCTGGCGGTCTTCGGTTGTCTTCGGACAGTCGTTGGCGGATGACGGGAAGCGTTTACGAGGTACTCGAAGCGAGCTCGACGGTCTGGCTGAATCAGCATCGTATCAAATAAAGTTATTACTAATATAGGATGGCGGGTTACATTTGGCTACTCGTTAGCGGATGACGGGAAATGCGCTAAGACTCGAAGAATCGCGCGGTGACGTTTTGTTGCCCAGAGGAATTTTATCAACTGTGGGGGGTCTGTGGGTGGGGAGCGTGCGTTGCGCACTCGTGGCCGGAGACCTGGCGGATGACGGGAAGCGCGCTAAGACTCGAAAGGTCGCGCGATGGTCGTTCTGTTGACCTGAAAGATCTTTTTATCAACTGGGGAGGTCCAAGTGACGGGAACGCGCGTTGCGCACTTGTTGCCGGGGGCCTGGCGGATGACGGGAAGCGCGCATACACTCAAAGAGTCGCGCGATCGACGTTTGTTCCGGCCCGGAGGGAAATATTTTCAACCGGGGGGGGGTCTGAGGGGGAAAGGGCTCGCGATTGCTCCGTGATCAAGGCCTGGCAGGTGACGGGATGCGCGCATAGACTCGAGGAGTCGCGCGATGGATGTTGGTTCCGGCCCGGAAGGACATATTTTCAACTGGGGGGAGTCCGAGGGGGGAAGGGCTCGGGGTACCTCTTTTATCAAGGCCTGGCGGATTTGTCAAAATGGCCATTTCGCCTGAGACGTCCTCACAAAATCGAGATATTGGAGGCTCTCGTTTAAAACTTCTTATGTTAACAATGACGATTTCGCTGGAGACATCCTCAATACATCGGGATGTTCACATCGACGGCCTAATTGTCGAATCTTCGTAAACGGCAGTTTCGCCTGAGACATCCTCGAACAAGTTGGGTGTACGAAGGGCTGTGTTTAACCATCTTTCAGAATGATTTCGGATGACCTCCAAGATGGCAGAAGAAGGCGAAATTGTTGAAACACCAATGGTTTTTAACATATATATCTAGATATATGTATATATGAAACGTTTCGCCTGAGGCATCCCGCAAAAACTGCTTTCGGACGGGTCCTCGATGCCATGAGATTTCCTCCCCATCGTTCTTCTTGTTCCCCTGTCAGCGCCATGTCTGAACTCGCGCGGAAAGTGAACTCCATCTGATAGATTGTGTGGGCGTTCAGGGTCTGCGCCACGTCTACACTCGCGCGGGTAGTGAACTCCACCTGGATTTTTGTCTTGGGCGTTCGCGGTGAGCGATGGCTGAACGTGCGCAAATGATGAATTACATTTGAATTCCTTAGTGGACGTGCGGGGTGAGCGGCACGTCGGATTTTGCGCAGGTAGTGAACTCCATTTGGTTATGGTTGAAAACGTTCGGGGTCAGCGGCACGTCTGAACTTGCGCGGATAGTGAATTCCACCTGGTACCCCCCGTGGACGTTCGGGAACAGCGCCCACGCGACATGCGACCTTGATGTTGGTGCACGCTCTTGCCAAGCTCTTCGATTTCACGCGCTTCCCGTTCATGGCAGGAAATGTTCCCCAAAAGAGCGTTTCGCTCGAGACATCCTCACAACATCGAGATCTTGGAGGTTTTCGTTTAAGACGTTTTATGTTAAGAAATGAGCGTCTCGCTCGAGACATCCTCGGACAATGGGGATGCTGAAATCGTTGATCTAATTCGCGGACCTCCAAACATGGGCGCTTCGCCTGGGACACCGTTGAAAACATGAGATGCCGAAGGAGCTCTTGTAAGGCATCTTTTTCGGTGCGATCTCGGATGACCTCCAAGATGGCCCAAGAAGCGAAAGTAGAATCAAACCCGCGTGCTTTTAACACTTTCGTTGGAAAATCAACGCTTCGCTCGAGACATACCCCAATAATTGCCTTCGGACGGAGGGTTTTCAACAGTTTTGTTGAAACCATAGCGCTTCGCTCGAGAATTCCCCCAACAATTTCTGAACTCGCGCGGAAAGTGAACTCCACCTGATATCTTTTGTGGGCGTTCGGGGTAGAAGCGACGTCTAAATTCGCGCGGGTGGGGAACTTTACCTGGTATCTTTTGTGGACGTTCGCGGTGAGCGGCGGCCGAAGTTGCGCGGATGGTGAATTCCATGTGGTATCCTTTTGTGGACGTTCGGGGTGAGCGGCACGTCGGAATTGGCGCGGATCGTGAACTCCATCTGGCTCTTCTTGCGGACGTTCGGGGTCAGCGAAACGTCTGAATTTGCGCGGGTAGCGAAGTCCACCTGGTACTCCCTGTGGACGTTCGGGAAGAGCGCCTACGCGACATGCGAATTTGATGCTGGTGCACGTTCTTGCCAAGCTCTTTGATTTCAAACGCTTCCCGTTCATGTCAAGAGAAGGTTTCGAAAACGAGCGTTTCGCTCGAGACGTCCTCGTCAAATCGTGAAGTTGGTGGTCGTATCGTAAGACGCGTTTTGCTAAAATGGGGCGTTTCGCCCGAGACACTGCATCCTCGACAATGGACGTTTCGCCCGGGACACCCCCGAAAAAAACGGGATGCAGAAACAACTCTTGTAAGGCATCTTTTCGGAGCGATCTCGGATGACCTCCAAGATGGCACAAGAAGCGAAAGTATTGAAAAACAGAGGCTTTGTACATGTTCGTTTAAAAATCAGCGGTTCGCTCGAGATATACCCTACACAATGCCTCCGAACGGGCCCACGAAACCATCTGCTCTCTTCCTTCTCCTCCTCCTCCTCTTCCTCCTCCTCCTCCTCTTCATCCTTCTCCGTCTCCTCCTCGTCCTTCTCCTCCTCCTTCTCCTCCTCTTCCTATTCCTGTTTTTGCTGTTCCACCTCCTCCTCCTCCTCCTCCTGGTATTTCTCAATCTCGTTCCTCCTCCTCCGCCTCGTTTTCCTCCTCCTCCTGCTCCTGTTCCTCCTCTTCCTCGTCATCCATCCCGTCCTCTCCTCACCCTCTGGTCCTGCTCCTGCAGCTGCTGGTCCTCCTTCTCCTTCTCCTCCTCCTCCTCCTCCTCCTCCTCCTCCTCCTCCTCCTCATCCCTCCTCTCCCCCCTCCTCCCTCCTCCCTCCTCCTCCTCCCCCCCTCCCCCTCCCCCTCCCCCCTCCCCCCCCCCCCCTCTCCCTCCCCCTCCCCCCCCCCTCCCCCTTCCCCATCCCCCTCCCCCCCTCTCCTCCCCCTCCCCTCCTCCTCCTCCTCCTCCACCTCTTCCTCCTCCTCCTCCTCCTCCTCCTGCTCCTCCTCCTCCTCCTAGTCCTCCTCCTCCTCCTCCTCCTCCACCTCCTCCCTCCTCCTCCCCTCCTCCCTCCTCCTCCTCCCTCCTCCCTCCTCCCTCCTCCCCCCGCCTTCCTCCCTCCTCCCCTGCAGCCCCTCGGCCAACGAAGACGGCTGCAGGGAGGGGTCCAAACGTACCTCCACCTTCATGCACCAGTCAACCAATACACCAGAAAACCAACTCCTCACATTCCTCCATGGGGCCGTGAACGGGATTTATCCCCTGCCGGCTGACGGTGCCTGTCAATGTCAGTAATCTAATACTCTGTGGCGTCAGTTGCCAACCCAGTACACCAGTACACCAAGGGTGACGGTTCGACCCGTGCCGCCGCGGTGTCACATGTGCCGCCGCGGCGTCACTCATGAGGTCGTTCCCGCTCCCCGCCCCTTAACCGAGCTCTCCAAGGACGGGTATGTAAAACCTTCCCAACCACCTCCGTCTGCCACTTGGGGCGCAGGTGTGTGGCTGGGCCTACACCCCTCCTCCTCCCCCTTCCCCCCCCTGCCTTTCTCTAAGGATGGGTATAACCGCCGCCCAATCTACACGTCCGGAGCAGCGGCCCTCGCCGAGAGCTGACCAGGGGCCGCCTTGGATCGCCCCACTGTCGCTTTGCTTCGGCTTCAGGTCCCCCGGTCAGGCCCGCTCTCCTCTTTCATGTTTCTTGTTTCAGGTGCCCCTGTCAGGACTTGTGGCCGCAACTCCGAGTGGCCCTCCTCCCCTCTCTGCTCCCCGCCTCTCCGCCCTGCCCCCCCCCTCTCTTTCTCTCTCTCTCTCTCTCTCTCTTTTTCTCTCTGTCTCTCTCTCTCTCTCTCTCTCTCCTCTCTCTCTCTCTCTCCCTTCCCTCCCCTTCGCCCCTCCTGCCTTCGACCCGCGGTCGAATAAACACTGCCCCCCGAGTCATTCCCCCAGCTGTTATCCCACCCCATGGGATAACGAACTCGTAGGGCTTATCCAGTTTCGGTGTCGAAGCTGTGTATGCCGTTTCCGGACCCCTTTTTCAGGAATTTGCCTTAGGACCGTCCTCAGGAGCGACCTCTAACCCATGCTCATCAAGAACAGGGACAACCTCAAACCGCAAGGGCATGTTTTCTCCGAGTGACAACACCACTCCCCCTCCCTCCCCTGCCCCTTCCTTACGTCCCTCCCTAAGGTCTCCCCGCCAGGACCGTCGGTTATGTGCTTGCCCAGCGTGCTCCGGAACAGCGTTTCCGGAGCACGTTAGAACGCCCGTGTTGGTGTCGAAGAGGCAGGCCGTTTTTGCCCATCCTCGCCGTGTGGACCCCTGCTCCCCTTCTCTCTCTCTCTCTCTGCCTCTTCTCCCCTGCCCCTTTCCGCCTCTTCTCCCTCCCCCCCTCGCTTCGTCCTCTCTCTCTTTCCCTCCTGCCCCTTCCGCCTCTTCTCCCTCCTCCCCCCTCGTTTCGTCCTCCTCTCTCTCTCCCTTCCCTCCCCTTCGCCCTTCCTGCTTTCGACCCGCGGTCGAGTAAACACTGCCCCCCGAGTCATTCCCCCAGCTGCTATCCCACCCCATGGGATAACGAACTCGTAGGGCTTATCCAGTTTCGGTGTCGAAACTGTGCATGCCGTTTTCGGACCCCTTTTTC